GAAATTAAGTGTATCGTAAAGTTGTATTCGGAAAGAATAAACCAGTTTTATTTAAGAAAGGACTTGTGTCGCTAAAGTTTCGTCGGAACGAATTTACGGAAAATTAACGAACGACTGGAGGCGTAACAATATCATTAAAATAATTTAAATTATAAAATCACAATGACAGCGAATTTCCTCTTTTTCTTTATTTTTCTGTGAAAACTAAATCATATAATATTTCACTAACAAATCTAGAAACCCGATAATAAGTGTGTTTTTGGTATTCGTATCTTTCTTCTTTAGTGATAAAAAAATCAGGCTTTTGGTGTTGCTATGGCTACTCACAGACAACGCAACACACAAATTTCTGTACTGTTTGTAAGCAACCATGGCAACAACGTGATGTCATGGATGATCACAATTTAGCTTGATCTTCTATTCTTATTGTCCTCTTTCAAGAGTACTGGGGGTTATTGGGTTTGTTAAACTGTGTTTTAACTATTTTAGTGTTCATACACGTTCTACAAGAATCGTTTAGTTAATATTTAAGTATATTGAACAATAATTGTATACAACTCTTTTAAACATAGATAAAAGAAACACATTTTGGGTGAATATATATGGGATCAGAATGTGCAACCAATTAATGCTAATTAAATTAAATCATCTTGAATTATATTTGATCTTAGATGAACATGAAAATAGGGTAAAAATCATTTACTTCCAAGAGAATAAAAAAAAAGATCTTTTAACAAAAGCAACATTTATTATAGATTTTTAATATAAAAATATTACTATAAATAGATGGCTTAAATATACTGAAGAAATGCTTGTTTTTTTGCTTAGAATTAAGCACAAAGCTACACAATGGGCTATCTGTGCTCTGCCCACCACAGTTTCGAAACCCGGTTTCCGTGTAAGTCCGCAGACATGCCGCTGTCCCACTGCGGGACACTGAAGAAATGCAATAATTTGTTTTGTGTATAGGAGTTATTACACGTAAAGGAAATATATTCAAAATGCAAGTGATGTCTGTATATGACAAATCCCAACTCCGCGAAAAAGGCTAATATGCGAAAATAAGACATTAAAAGCCCTTCTTTTATATATGATTTAAGCTCTCTTCGTGATGAACAAAAAAAGTGGAAACAGATAGCAACTTTTTATATTCTGCGCCTTATGGTATGAGAATGGGGTGTTCTCTTGTCCTTTATAGTCACTCACTGTCTTGTCAATGTAGTTGTTCTCTCTAGGTAGATGGTCGAGATAATCCATTGGTCACTCTTCCTTGGAAAGAAAGTTTGGGCTTTTCTGTAGGCTGTTCTTTCACTGGCAAATTCTTCTCTGAAGCTAGCTCGACAATAACCTAGGGCTCTTTGTAGATTAAACTACCACTGTGAAATCTTCTCTGAAGCTAACCAGTTGGCCGTTTTCTCGCCACCGTATTTTCAAAGACAATCACAGTGGACGTTCTTTGGTTTTAAATGCCTGTCCTTCTGGGCTCTGTATACTAAATCTGATTCCTTCACTGCAACACATGGCTCCTTCTAACACCTACGTAACTTTGGGATCTTTCCTCTCTTGTGACAGGATTGTACAGCAATACCATGTCACCACAATAACACCCAGTCTTGTAAGAATTTATATCATAGCAACTTTTCATCTCATCACTAGTTGATTCAAGTTTTTCTTGAGTAAAGTCATGAAGTACAGTATAAATGGTGTTCTTTAATTTCTTTGCATATTGTATGTAAGCCTGCCGAGTTATTACTCTCGGAATATGAGCACAGAAGATATAATGGCACTTTGATTTCTTTTCCAAAGATCAGTGCATGCATTGCTGTTCGACAACCCAGAAGTAGCAGTGAAAGATCTGGATTCCAAGTTTTCAAATATTCATTCACAAGAATAGGCTAATTGACTAAAATGTGTATGGTTGTACCTAATAATCCATCAAAAGATTCTAAGTTCTGGACACGCCTCAGCAGAAGCATTGCTGGGCACCAGATCACAAACCTCTTGCCCTGGATGTATTTCATAGTGGTCCAAATTAACTTATGTAAGTTATATAATATTACAATTACATTTAAATCACTTTAAGTAGTGGCTGTTTCTTAGTGCCCAGGCCCCAATTTGTTTGGTAGCTAGTGATGCTCCTGCTGCAAACAAGACTGATTCAAATCCCTGACGTCAATGAAGTCCTATAAAAACAAATTCCTTGACAAGTTTCTTTACTAGACTTTTTGCTTTCTGGTTAAGAACAGCATATGGTTTTGGCCATTTAGAAAAATAGTGATTACAGTGATGATGCAGTTATTCCCGTTGTTACTCTTTGGCAGAAGACCAAGCACACTGACAAGCTTTCTCATGTGGCACTCCAACACAATACTGCTTTAGTTGTCCACACTGTTTCTTTTAGGACCTTTTTATTCAGAGTATAGTTTACATGATTTATACCGATTCTCTACAGATTTCCCAACACAGACCAATAGAGGGAGCAGAGTAAAAGTAAAGTCAAGTGGAAGAGAAGTTCTGTCAGAGAAGTTAGAAAACGTGAAGTCAGACGTCAAGAAAGTGAATAGCCTTAACGGTTGATATGTTAAAGTGAGTTTAACAGTTTGATAGAGATAAGGAGAATAATTTATATTGTCAAAGGGTGTTCTAAACTAATTGAGCCAGCCTGTGACAATTATTTGAAGTTCAAGATACAACTGTGGCAACCGACGAGGTAGTGTAAGTGAATTATTCACTGATAATACGGTGTTAAAAGTAGAGAAAAATAGTTTGGCTTTTCAACTGTATTCTACAGTAATTGAATCAGCCTAGGTGGACTTTTGACAACAAGAAGAGAACCGTATAGTGTTTAAGATACAACTGTGATATCCATAGTGTAAAAAAGTTTTGTACATACGTTTATCTTGTTTTGAATATATTATTTTAAAACAAGTGGAGTGCATGCTATCCGTTTATTGTTCGAATTTATCGCCAACAAGTCACGGCACCTACTGTAGAAGAATCCTGAACACCCACACATATACATATATTTAAAACCCTGAGAGTTTGTTTAAAATCAGCAGTCCAACAAAACTTTTGTTTTTCAAATAATTCACGTAGAGGACGAACTATGTTAGAGACTGATTTTAAAGACGACAATAGAAAGAATACAGACCAAGAAATCCTCTTACCTCACAAAAATTCTCTGATGTTGTCCATATTCAGTACATTTTATTGCAAAGTAATGTACGGCTAAAACTTTTTATCAGGAAGTTACTCCTATAACATTTCACAACTAACAATGTTAGATGGTATATTATTTACATTACGGTAATCTATACAGTAAAAACAGTGCATGAATGAACGATAATCTTTATAACAACGGCTTCCAAGCTGTGTTGTGGCAAGTTGTTAGGAGTGTTACAAGAATTTCACCAAAAGAATAATAACTAATATAAAAAAAATACTGCATGAGGCAGCATGGGTGTCATGCAAATCAAGGTAAGTGGGCTAGGGTGTCCTTAGTGAAAAAAGTTTAGAAACCATTGCTTTATAAAAACTAATCCAATGTGGTTTTGGCTTTTTCTTTCTTAATCATAAGTGGCATTATAGCCTCTGCTCCTATTACTAATTTTGGTTTAAGTGTGTTAGCAAAGTAACATCGAGCTAGGGGAGCAAGTGGTCTAAACTTAAGAAGAAAAAAATCACTAACCTAAAAATTGAAAACGCTGCTGAAAACTGGGTGGATGCTATATATTACGATTGCAAACTGAAGAAACAATTTAAATAACGGAGAAATTAAGTATAAAACCTTAAAAAATGTGTAGAATATCATGATTTCTTAAGAAAAAATGCTGAAAACTGAATAATAACAATTAGACTTTGGATAATTACAATCTATGGTATACTATAAATCGTAATTAAGGAGACAACTACAAAAATTGTACAATTAAATTTAAAATCTAAAATAAAAATGTCTAAATTATAAAATCTCATTGTCTTCTTTAAGAAACATTTATATAAAAGTACATAAACTAGATGTACTTCTGCAGGGTCCCTGGAAGTGTTCTGTTTCAAGAGTAAATAAAACCAAAATTAAAAGTTACAAATATATTTATTTCTTGCTTTTGAAGTTCATATGTCATATTGTGTTGTAGCCTACAGAGTTCATAATTCTTCTCGTGATTTATGGCATGCATCACAACAGTACAAATTTCAATGTTAAGCATCCCTTACGTGACAACATTTTAGTGTCTACTCAATGACTGACAGACAATACACTACTGTATAACAGTGCGAGTGGTTAAAACAGAATTTCACCAGACAGACTTCGACTCCATTTCAGGGTAGATTTTTGTATAATGAAAATATGAATATTAATTGGCTAAGAATTACATGTTAGTTTCGCAGTGGTTAGAATGATGAATAACTCAATTGTTTTTCTCATAAATAATGATTATAAAAAAATTCCATACATTGTGTTGTTCAGTATCAAGCTTCATTAATCACACATTGTCTAATGTAATTTTTACATCAATTTAATGGTGAAACAACTAAATTACTATTTCTTAAAAACACTGGTTGAAACCAGCAACCTAGTAAAGTTTTTTTAATATCAGAAAAAAAAGAACAAAAAGTTCGGGAAACAATAACTTATACTACCCAAGGGTATTAACCCTAAGCTCTAAAGTACAATATGTGATGCATATATTTTATTGTTGACATTATTGTGAAATATTCAAATTCCATTGCATAATAACTGTTTACGCTACTACCTTTTAATGACAAAATACGGACTTTAATTTTGAAATAATTCCCTTCGCATAAAAATCAGCTTGTACCAACATGTTATCACACTGGTCTTCTTAACTTTAACCTACTAATTTGCAGTATAATGAGCAGGTTAATTCAAGAAAATAATTAATAATTACAGCAAAATGCTGACAATGCATTAGAAATTAATAGGCCTAAGATTTGCTTTACACATCACATAAACTGCAGGTATTTTTTTTCTTTCCCACATCCTCCAAATATTCCATTTTTGATTCAAAATCATAATTGTATAAAAATAGCATTTAAGGTTTATTTTTTGTCTCCCACAAGTCACTGCCCAAGAGCCCATTTGTTCAGTATTAGAATTAATTAGTTGGGCTGGACAATGAGAGATAAAAGGTTTCCTTAAATTATATTTATATATGCAGTATACTACTTTAAAAGTTATGGTTGGAACATTGAATACTGGCAAAGGATTAGAAATCAGTAGGCCTAAAGTTTGGGAAAAAAATCATGTAAACTGTACATTTTTTAAAGTATATTTTTCCAGCATCTCAACCACTACTCTATCTGTCATATCCCAACCAGAATGATGATTCCTGGTATTAGACAAAAGGCCTCATTGGCACTGGTGTAGCACATGTAGTGTGGTTGACATATTATTATACACTATTCATTACTTTCAATCAGAAGTTTTTATTAATAAATATTGAGTTAAACAATTAAAAAACAGGTTATTTATTTTCTGAATCATAACAAAATGGGAAACAGTCCAATAATTTCAGGTTAAAGTCAAACATTTCCAATTAATCCCATTAAAATTAACTGCAGCATTAAACAGCAAAGATTTCATACAAAAGAAATGAAAATGTAAATACAAAATCTGTTTCAATAACCCTATTTAAGGGGTCAAATACTTCAAATTATTAGATATTATTGCTAGTTTACATCCCTGAGTGATCTTTCATATAAATGGAATAGATGTCACAAAAATATGCTCTGAAATTCTCTTCTTTTTTTAAAGTTTTTATACAATTTTTCAACCCTGAGCACAACATTAATAAGCAAATAAAAAAAGTAAAGTGAAGAGATATATATATTTATTTTGGAAAACAAAATCTCCATGAGACAAACATTTGTTTACCACAGAATAAAAACAAATTTTCTTATTTTTAAAAGTTATACAAATGCGTGTATTTTTGGATGGTCGTATCCTGAGTACATAAGATGCATATTGAAACCTTCCACCTTCTCTGGTCCAAGTGTTAGCTGGAACCCAAGTAGCACAAATCTGACCAGTTTGATTATAAAAGTGGAGCTTCTGCTGTGCTGTTCTCCTTTCTTCTCTTCTTCTCTTTCTTTCTGCCCTGACAGTGTTTCATGTAGTGCCCTAGACTTTCTAACTCCCTCTGGTGGCCAGTTGCAGATAACCAAACCTGTTAGCATGGACAGTTTTAACAGATATATGTTTACCAAAAAATTAGTATCACATACTAGACATTAAAACTATATTTAGAACATTTGATGTGATGTATTACATGTTGACAGAACACTTATAAAGACACTAACACTTATAAAACCACATACAGAAATTAATCAGTTTAACATTAACAAAAGCACTATTCATTCCTCATAAAAAAGGTGATAACACAGTTATAAAGTACTTGGAATTAAGCTTATGACACATTGTTACTTGAAACATTTGTGTCACCTGAAACTTCTCTTGGACTAGCGCTTGCAGCTGTTGTTGCTGTTCCGCAGTGAGTGAGGCATTCTGAACTTTAGCTTGCCAATCCTTTAGTGTATCTTCTCGGCTTTTTCGTACCTCCTCATAGTGGGGAGGAATACCACCAGGAATACTCTGAAGTTGAAATGAATTATATATTTTCAAGTACACATGAAAGAAACAGTATGACCACACTTTACAATAAAAAACATTTCCAAGATAGTACATACGTCAATGTTCAATGTGGTATAATCAATGTTTGTTCAAGACAAGTTTTTTAGTGACTTTAGGAGCATAAGCAGATTAGCTTTCAATTGATTTTCTCTTGGTTTACAATGATCATCAACTGATTAGTTTTCACACGATCAGTTTACCACCTAATACACGCCATGACGTATTTTGAATTTCTGAATAATTTAATCAACATACAATAATTATTCTAAACATTCACAGTTACCGAACGACTGTACGTTACAGATACCTATTCTACTTAAACTCCTGCACTTTTACCAGCTGGCCTACATTTTTGTTCTATTTCATACAAGAAAAGGTTATCAGTGTTAGAAGTGTCTTTACCAATTCTTGTTACAAAGGAATTTATATAAAATAATGTAAAATAATCCTTCCAGAATAACTCTAAATATTTTAAATAATAAGCTTCATATTCTCACCTTGGTTGGTCCATCCATTTCAAAAGGTACGGTGAAGAGATAAAATTCTGATGGAGGAAGAAGTAACTTTGTTACCGAGCTTTCTTCCTTCATCTCATGTACTATCAAAAAGAATAAAAAAAAAACACTTGTAATTTTGGCTTCCATCTTTAATGAGTATTATTTTACAATAATATTTTATGCTATATTTACCTTGTTAAGCATTAACACGTATTGAAGAGTTTAAATTTTCTGTTATTTTCCTGATCAGTTACATACTTTGTTCCCAAAAAATTATGAATATTACTGAATTAAATGGTATACTTTCTGATATCTAAATGTACAAACCATATGAACGATACACATGAAATGCATCTCAAAACAAGTAAAAGTAACTAGGTGCCTAACTTTAATACAGAAATTACAATTAATTTCTCCTTTTTGCTGAGAGTATGCTACTTGAAACCTACCAAGAAAGAGGGGCTCAGACCATCTATTACAGTGGGATCCTATACCAGCTTCTAACATTTGTTGTTCTAACAGAGGGTAGTGGGTATTGTAAGGTGCCAGCCATACACCTTGATGTTTTACGCCCAGGATCAAAGGTCGAGTTGGGGTGAGGATGAACAACTTAATGTTACTAGAATTGCTGTAGTGGAAGGAAAAACAGACTTTATATATTTGAAATAAAAAAAAATCATATTACACTCTCTTTGGAATTAGAATATTGAAGAAATAGTGTATTTTTTATTAACAAAATAGTGTGTTAAAAGATTTTTTTCTTCCCCATTTACAAAAACTCAAGGACATCTACATGACAATGCCCCTTACACCTTACATATAAAAAATGGTAGTTCCAAAGAGTAGATTATTTGATAATAACCAGGCAATTAGTAGAATTTGATAATTGATTAACTGTTGGGCTCAATAATTGATTATATTCAACTAATCAATTATTGTCACACGATACTTGGACAGTTGGAATAACTTAAAATACTGATAACCAGAAACACAAATTTCAATTAGTTGATTATTTTCATGGATCATGGAATTAAATGATTAAGCCGAACCACCTTGCATTAATCAAAAATAATAAGAAAATATCATCATAATGACAATACCATGAGTGTGTAGGGGATTAAAACAGAGCTTGCACAAGTTAAATCATCTATGTATTTCTCTATTACGATTTGTAACAGTAATTTGTTTGCCATCAACAAATAAAAGAATACTTGAACCAGACAAAGCCCTACCTCACACATATTCTCCTGGCTACAGCTATGACAGTCAAGTTTTTTGAGTTAGTAACATGGAGAGTTGTGGCAACTGGTCCAAGTACCAGAGTTGTACCTTTACAGCTATTAACGGTGACAGCTCTATGGAAAACATATTATATTCACTTATAGACATGTATTATACAACAGACTGAAAATACGATCTCTGCAGATCTAATCATTACAGATGTAAGCTCTTTGGTATATTGAAATATGAACTTAGCAGCCTTTCCTCAGTTTCTGACACAAAACTGCATTAACTCGTACATGCATTTTTAAAGAATTTTAAATATGGTTCGCTTGATTCCTTCAGAAATTAATAATAATTAACAAAAATCAGAGCAAACAAATTTAAATTTATTGTATAACTCCATATAAACCTTTCACATGTCCAAATCAAAATTCAAGTTTAGTAAGTTCCTTATGTTGTCAATAAGATAAAGTTTTTTATTTGAGTGAATCCATACATTTTTTAATGTCTTTATTGCTTATCTTTCAAGTACTATATTCTTAATATCTGAAAAATATGTACGTGTGTGTGTAAAATTAGCTTTGTTTAATGAAAGATTGAACAAGAAAGAGCCCTCAGTAGCCATGACACTTGAAATTCTTTTAGGCAGGATTACAGTAAATTAATCTACAAGACATTTTTTCCCCATTTTATTAGCCATTTACATATACCGATTCAAGTTTATACTCATTAGGATCTCTACCAGCCTACCTTCAAATTTAAATTCTTTTAAGCAGGATTAGAGTAAATTAATTTATGAGACCTTGGGAAGAGTTAAATATATCAATTGAAAGGGTTTGATCTCCCGAGTCCAAAACTGTAATTAGATTTCAAATCGGTCAAGAGATGACGGATGTTTGAGCTAAAAGTTTGCACTTAAAAAAAGTCAGAGCCATTCTACGAGCTGCTTTGCTGCAGCTAAAAATGGACCTTATTATTTCTGAAACTTTTTAGCTGTGAAAACAAAATTTTGCAGAATAAGTTACTTTTAAACATTTTCATTTACCTATGTAATGGCCACCACAGTTGAAATAACTGAATATCAAGAAACTTGAGTTTTCCAATCTCTTGCAATGAAGTTACAATGTTCATGATACATAACAGTCTGAATGTAGGAGACACAAGTTTCAGTTGAAATCCATCAATGTATCACACCTTGTCTACTTTGAAATTACACGGTGTTTGCTACATTTACAACTCGGGTGAGCATTAGAATGGGGTATTGCCCTATCACTGATCAATCAAGGATCAGAAATATCCAATAACAATGGCCTACATAACCATTGAAGTGTGAAGCAAATATTGTTGAAGCTTGGTCATAAAGGCCCATTCCTTTTGATTGTTCAAAAAGAGAATATAGAGACAAAAATAAAAGGAACCGATCATGGGAGGAAGTGGTTATGGCATTTAGGGAAATAGGTAAATAGAAAATGAGTACTGGTTGTGTGCTGTAAAACTACTATGATTAAACACATGACACTTAATGGTACAATGACAAATCTTTAGTGTTAATGTCGTCACGGATTGCAGCTTATATGGTGTCAAGTCTTACTGGACTTCAGCCCCCCTGAGACTGCAAGAGCTGGAATTACTTCATGTGCACCACTGAAAGGTTTAAACTTAGGAGAATTCCTAGAGTTGCATTGAAATATTAATTTTTTTTATTAGACATATCAATTTATTTATATGTTCAAGCACCTTACCTGAAAGGAGGAAACAGATAAAGGTAACAATAGTGACATCGGTGTAGTTTTAGTGTTGATCCATGCAAAGTTTTGGAATTCTGAAAGTTTAGAAAATATAAAAGCATCACATTCTAGGTAAAATCGTAAAAAAACGTGAATCTTACTTTTATGAGTTAAGGCGATGCTAGAATCAGTTTCGACTTCTGACAAGAGTGTATTTCACAAGAATGAAAGTACAATTACTCAAAAGTGAAATACTTCTAAGTATTTATTAACGAAGACAGTTTTGTGGTACATAATAATTAATCATATGTTGAATTTTGAGTAAACAGTTATTAGAAAAGAGATGAGAAGCTAAATGACCAAACTACAAAATAAACCAGTAAAATGGCCTAAGTAATGTTTTACATTGCACTATATCAGCATTTAAATATTCTCAGCATTATTAATATGTAATATTAAAGCAATACATAAAGAGATTCAACCAGTAAGAAGATTTAGGCTTAATCCATTTACTACGTCAACAAGTGATATTTATAATAATAAAAATTCATCAAGTACCAAAATAATATAAAACATTAGGTGTAATATTTGAAACAGCAAAAGTCGAAGACATTTATCAAAAATAGGGAGACGATTAAAATTTATAGTTAATTGTCTACTACTAAAAACATAACTCACCAACGAAGAAAATATGTATACTTTTTTTTTAAGTTTCATGTTTCAGGAATCCTGAACATAAAATAACTACTATTATAGGTTATCTCCCAAACAAATAAAGCATACCCAATGAAATATATGACAACGATATCATTACATAGTAGTTGAGAGGGATAACAGAACAATCAAATCTTTACACAATTCACCAGAACAAAGGCAACGAACCAATTAACCTCTACTATAAAAACCATTAAATGTTAAGTGTAAAATTATACTTAGCTAGATCTTAAGGCATAATAGCTCCCCTAAGTGGTCTCCTTATGCACAGTTAGAACCAGAAATTAAGATGGAATGATCCTTAAAGACTAACTATAATTATTAATGGACCCTCTTTGAGTTTTTACATACATTCTTTTAACCAATTTATGCACCAATGACTAACTATAATTATTAATGAACCCTCTTTGAGTTTTTACATACATTCTTTTTACCAATTTATGCACCAATGACTAACTATAATTATTAATGAACCCTCTTTGAGTTTTTACATACATTCTTTTTACCAATTTATGCACCAATTACTAACTATAATTATTAATGAACCCTCTTTGAGTTTTTACATACATTCTTTTTACCAATTTATGCACCAATGACTAACT